GTTCTCAGAAGCTTTCATGTAACATGGACCAAAATGTTCTCCAATACCAGCTCACTTGACTCATTCTAGTTACTTTCCTGATGCTTGGTACCTGCAGGTGCTTGAGTTTATGGTGTCTTCCTAAACTATTGTACTCCTCCAAAGACATTGCATTTTAACTGAAGGAGATGTGCCAATATGGCTCACATAAGGAAAACTAGGCTCTTGTGTTGTTATAGCTAGTTTCTAGATATGGTGGGCTTCCCTGTCCATAACTTGGCACCTCATGGGCTGACAATCACATAGGTCATACTCACACCTATCTTGGCTTCCATTCTGCACAGGGAGTATAGATCATTAGCCCCCAACTACATACTTATCAAGGTGGTAGGGAGAATACAGGTGGGAAATGGTGAAGCAATAAAACACTAACAGAAAAACTATGAGTTGTTGTTACATAGAACTTCCATTCTGATAGACTCCTAGAAAAATCATGATGGCAACTCCTTTATAGCACTTACCAGGTAGACAACTCCATTCTGTGATTTTCATTCATTGATCTTACAACTCCATGAGGTAGATATTATAATTATCCCAATTTTTCAAATGAAGAAAGTGAATCAGAAATCTTAGGATAATGTGCCAAAGTCACACTGCTGATCATCCTGATAAGCCAGGATTCAAGTCCAGAAATTCTGGTGCATGTGCACATGCAAATGTGTGCACACAAACACACAAACACACACACACACACAAGAGATAAAATGGCTAAGTTGGCGATTGCTGTCACCAACTTGACTGGAACCCAGATATCCTTCTTATTGACTGTGTGCCTTGTGCAGGATACCTAATCTCTCTTGAGTCTCAGTCTCTCCCTCTGTAGTGATTAAAAACAAAAAACTCTCTGACTTCTATGATTAAAGTAAGAATTACGATGATGTACATACAATACACAGTAAATGCTCAAATGATTTTTTGCTATGACAACAAGAAAAATAAAAGTATTAATAAACATATTAGCTATGATGTAAGTTATGTGTTTAAAGCAATACTCAGCTCTTAACTAGCTATCAATATATACTAATTTCACTCCCCATTCAAAGTGACATACTGAATATCACCATGACAGAGATGTTTCTAATCAAGATTATAGAATAACCTGAAGAAAACAGACCAATCATCCCAAGGGGAGACAAACAGATGAGAATGCAAGAAAGGAATCACTTCTTCAGAGAGAATTTTTCCAGGGTGTGATATAAAATAAAGGAGCTAGCTATTCATGTTTTGCAGATGCAAACAAATTTTTCAGAATGAAGCAATATCGGAGTCAATACCTCTTATCTCTCAAGGGGTTTGCATTCTTTTTCAAATTGTTACATTCTGTTCAATTACTTTCTTTTCTTTCCAGGGTTGAGAAAAATCTATTAAGATTTCACAGGGTTTGGAATGCCAAGGCTGAAAACGGAAACCAAGCCAAGATAGCTGTCAAACCTCAAAGTGAGTCTTTGCGATCCAATTAATAGCACAGTTGTTCCTCCATTCTGTTGGAATCAATTTATAACTAATTACATTATACTCTAAAGTCCTCTAGGAAATGGTCTTCATTGGTTAAATGCATTTTGGTTCTCACTGCCCAGTTCTGTTCTTGGTGCCTGTCACAATGCCTTTTTCAAAGTAGGTGTCAATAAATCATATTTATATTCACCATGTGGAAAAGAGAGCCAAATACTGCTCTTTTTGGATAGAGTGGAAGATAAGTCCATCAGAACTTAACTAAACAAAACACTAAATTTTGAAATATGTTAAACTATATTAAAATTAAAAATACATTAATGTATATTGTGTATTTTTTGACAATGCATCTTCTACTAGCGATTGACATTTATAAATTAGAGATGCTGACAAAAGGAGGTGCTGAATTGTTCAGACAATGCATAAACATAATGTCTTGAAATTAGTATGTAATTTTCTACCATCTGCCTGGAAGGTGGAGTGGAAGCAGGTAGTAATTTTTTGTGATGGAAACCTACTTTAAATGACCTGTTAGCATTTGGAGGCTTTATTCACTGAGGGTAGGATGTTGGAGGTCATTTTAGAGTTTTGCCAATCAGGTACCCACACAGCTTTGCCAGATTCAGGATTTCAGATCAATTGACGAAATATTAGTTAAGAGTCCCTTAGCTACACAACTGAATATTGAAATTCAGTAATTGAGTCCGGCAGTAGTTGCATTCTCGATTTGAATTGCTGTTATTTATGTGCCTTCTTGAGATAGGTAATTTGCTCCTTGATTCTCAGCCTTTCTTTCATTTTCTATTTTATGAAATTAAGTTTATATATTTATCTCTCAGCATACTATTGGCTGCCTTTCATTTGATTTGATATCTCATTATCATTTGGTCCTTACCTATTTCCTAATTTCCATTATGAGTTCTTGTTGCTCTATTTATAATTTAGAAACATATATCTTAATTTCCAAACGTGAATTTTTCAATCATCTTTTTGTTTCTTATTTTACCTTAACACTGTGATCAGAGAACATACTTTGTATAATTTCAGCTCTGGTGAAATTCATCAAAACATGCTCAGGTCCAAGAATATAGTCAATTTTGTAAATGTTCTATTCGTATTTGGAAAGAATATGTAATCCCTCTTTCTTTGGGGTCTGTATATGGCAAACATATTTATGATAATCAGGTAAAATTCATTACTTCTATCATTGAACTCTTTTTTATCCTTAGTGATTTTTGCCTGCTCATTCTATCAATAACTGAAAGATCTCCCACAGTGATTGTGTATTTGGCTTTTTTCTGTTATTTAATTTAGATTTGTCAATTTTTGCTTTAATCATTTTGAGGTTGTTATAGCTACACAAATTTAAAATTACTAGGTGTTCTGGGTAGTTTGGATTTTTATGATCATGAAGTTTTATTCACAAACCTTAATAATGCTTTCTTTAGAAATAACATTATAAACTACTTTAATATTAATATAGCCATACTTTTTTGTTAGTGTGTACATGGTATATATATTTTTATTTACTTTCAATTTTTAATAATTAATATTTTAAATATGTTTCTTAAAGGGTATGTTAAACTTTTTTGTCAATTCGGTTTCATGTCTGACAATCTTTAAAATACTTTAAGGTATATATAAATCATATATATATATATATATATATATAATTTTTTCAATTGTTTCTACCTGTTCTATGTGCTTTTTCTTCCTTGTTCATATTCTCTAGAATTAATTGTATGGTAATGAAAATGATAAAAATGATGATGACTCGATTCCCCACGTATATTAAATTGATAGTTTTAATTTCATGTGCCATTAGTTTAAATGTTACGCTAGTGATTACAGGGCATCCTTGTCTTTTCCAAAATAAAGACTACTTGCTCCTTTTACTTTCTTTCCTAACAGTAAAAGCCTTGTAGATCCTATAACTTTGTGCTCGATTTCACTTTGAATTTAATACTCCATATTTTGCAAACTTCACATTTTCTTATATAGCAATATTTCTTTAAAATTTTAAACCTGTTTAGCTTTTTCTATTGCCACTTATTGTCTCCTGTATCTCTCGACTTTCTATCTGGGATCATATTTATTCTTCCTAGAGCACCTCCTTAATAATTATTTCAGCGTGAGTCTGCTGATTTCCAATCCTTCTGGTTTTTACAGTGTGAAATATCCCCATTTTACCTTTATTCTGAAATTATATTTATGCTGGATATGGATGAATACATTGTTACTTCTTTCCTTCACTTTCAGGATATCTCATTTTTTCTAGTTTGCACCAATTCTATCTGGACGTCAGCTGACAGTCTAACTGCTCTTTGAACACATTGTTTTTTTTGTTTTGCTTTGTTTTTTTCCTGGATGTTTTCAATACTTTCCTCTTTGGCTTTCATTTTTAGCAGTTTTACTAGATATGTCAAGTGTAGTTTTCTTTCATTTATACCACTGGGTTTCATAGGCCTTCTTGAATCCGAAGGCGAATCTTTCCTAGTTCTCAGTGAGTATCACTTCAGACATTGTGATGCTCTTTTCTTTCTTCCCTTTACTTCTGAACATGAGCTATGCACATCGAACCTTCTCACATGTCCTCTTTTTTTATGCACTCTCATGTCTTTCCCTTCATTTAAAATCTCCGTGTTCATTTGGCAAAATTTTTGTATGATCTATTTCTTTTCTTTTTATCTATGTTAAATCTACTTTAAAACATATCTTAATACATAATAAAAAAAGTATTAAGGAATATGTAATAAAACGTATTAAGGAGTCTTAATACATAATACTCTAAGAATCTTAATACATAATAAGATGTATTAAGGTTTCTAGAGTTAGCAGATAAAAGTAGAAAATTCCGGGCCGGGCGCGGTGGCTCAAGCCTGTAGTCCCAGCACTTTGGGAGGCCGAGGCGGGTGGATCACGAGGTCAGGAGATCGAGACCATCCTGGTCAACATGGTGAAACCCCGTCTCTACTAAAAATACAAAAAACATTAGCTGGGCATGCTGGCGCGTGCCTGTAATCCCAGCTACTCAGGAGGCTGAGGCAGGAGAATTGCCTGAACCCAGGAGGCGGAGTTTGCGGTGAGCCGAGATCGCGCCATTGCACTCCAGCCTGGAAAAAAGGAACAAAACCCGTTAAAAAAAAAAAAAAAAAAAAAAGTAGAAAATTCCAAGTTAAAATTTAATTTTAGATAATATATACATTTTGATATAAATATGTTCAAAATATTGCATAGGGAATTTTTTTTAGCTCAAGCATATCCCAAGTAATACATGGGTCATTCTAAAATAATAAGTTGGTGATTATCTGAAAATCAAATTTTACTTGGTGTTCTAAATTTTGTCTAGTAACACTACATATAGCTGTTCTTAATTTTTTATTGCTTTATTTTTAATTTCCAGAATTTACATTCATTTCTTTTCTATGTTCATTAGCTTTCAGCCAAAATATTAAACTTGTTGCCTATATCCTTAATCGTATTTTTGTTTTATTTGGACTCCCTCATACTTTCTCCTTTCCCTTGGTTCTCACCCAAGTTAGTTCTTTCAATACCTTCTTATTCATTTTTTGTCACTTCAAAATTTTATTTTATTCTTATTGATAAAAAATCTGTCAACTTTGGTTTTTGACATATCACTCTCATAAACATATAAAAAGTAAAATTGTACTAAAACAAATTGGTTGAAATAAATATTTCTATGACAATGCAAACTATATTACTTCAGACTGTCTTGACTTGAAAACGTAATGTGTGAAAAATACATAAAAAGTAAAATTGTACTAAAACAAATTTTTTGAAATAAACATTTCCATGACAATGCAAACTACACCATTTCAGACTGTCTTGATTTAAAAACTGTTAATGTGTGGAAAATATTAAAAAATAAATACCTATGAATTGACCACCATGTTTATGATAGAACAATTCCTAACACTATTGAAGCTCTTGTGTCTACTTCCTGGATAATATCATCCTCCTTTTCACCACAGAGATACTTGTTTATCTCTAATTTTGCCAAGTATGTATACTAAATAATTTGTTTAGGCTTGTTTTTGAAATATTCTATAAATTAAATTATGGAACATCTTCTGTGGCTGTTTTTTACTCAACTGAATCATGATATTCCTCCACATCAATGTTTATGACTGTCACTGTTGTATAATATTTGTCTATCAATCTATCTACCCATGTACCTATTTACCATATGTATGATAACTTATGATGCATACGGTAGTCACCATTTATCTATGGGGATACATTCCAAGGCCTCTCAGTGGATGATGAAACCACAGATAGCACCAAACCCTATGTATGCTATGTGTTTTTTTCCCATACATACATGCCCATAATTAAGTTTACTGTATAAATTAAATATGTTACAAAATTAACAGCAATGCCTAATAATAAAATAGAACTAGTATAACAATATGCCAGCATCACTACTCTTGTACTCTGAAGCCATTATTAAATCAAATGTTACTCATACATGAGTACTATAATACCATGACAGTTGATCTGATGACCGACATGGTTACTAAGTTATTAATGAGTGGGGAACGTCAACAGCGTAGGTAAACTAGACTAAGAGGTGATTCATATTCTTAGTCAGAATGGAAAAGAATGGCATGATAATTTATCACACTACTTAGAAAAGTGCACAATTTAAAACTTATCAATTGTTTATTTCCGGAGTTTTTCATTTAATACTTTTGAACAATGATTGACTGTGTGTGCCTGAAACCATGAATAGTGAAGCCTTTGATAATTTAAAATATATAATATATGCACACATACATATATATGTGCATGTATACAACATACATATATATGTATATGTGTATATATATTATATAAGTTATCAATTCTCCATTTGGCAAGTTGATGGACATTTGAGACTATTTGAGACTATTTCCAGTGTTTTATTCTTATACATTATTTTTATAAATATCCTCATAGTTGCCTCTGGAAACACATGTTAGACTTTCTCTAGAATATACACCTAGAAGTGGAGTTGCTAAGTTTAGGTGAGAGCTCTTCCTATTCTAATTACTGACAAATGCTGCTTTACCCTCCCTTGAATATCTTGAGAGAGCATGAGTTCTGTTCTTGCTTAATTTATGGAACAGACTTTACATCTATGTCTAGGTTATCTCAAAAAGAAATAGAAGAGGAGAAGAGGATGATAGTGCTTCTCAGCCCACTCAGAATGTCACTTCTGGTCACAGCTTGGATAACCCATGACTGACATATTAAGGAAAGGCTACTGGCTCAGTTGAAGATGAATGTGAAGTTAGTCTCTGCTGACTCTAGACTGGAGTCTCAAACTGCAGCTTGGTTGATGTGACAGAATTTATGATGGAGTCTACACTACCTGTGAAACATAAATTCAGAAAGAAGATTTATTTGAAAGTAGGAAGACTAAATTAGAAATAGCCTGGCTTTCATCCTCTGGCCCTTTGTTTGTTGCTAAGCTTCAAAGATTACAAACACCTTGGTCTCAGGTATTATGGCCCCAGTGATGTCTAGTCATTCTCTATACTCTGTTAGCTGCATAATGGCCTCCATGCTGCTCTCCTCTACAGTTTCAGACATAGTATCCACCTCCGCGCCAGACACAGCACTGTGGGCTTTGGGGTTCTTTAATAAAGAGCAAATCCTGCTGGATCTCTATCTTTCAGGACATTGGATTAGTGTTTGTGTGGTAGATCTGGCTGTGTGGTTTACTGAGAAAAATCCAGTACTTCTGGGTCTTGTCTTTGTAAAAGCTGGGGCAACATTTTATGCAGTGCGATAAACATTGAGGTTTGTTTTTTTAGCAATGATTCAATTCAGTCTAAGTTCTTGCTTTCAGAATCTGGGACCATTGCTTTTGTAGTAGGATAGGCTTGAGGTTCAACAATGAGATCTTACAATCATAGAATCTAGAACCAATGTGTATGTATTGAATATTGAAGTTTATATAGAAGGAGCAAGTTCTGCTCAGGCTCTTAAACTGAAGACCCTGAGGTAGTTATCATTGGTTTCTCCTCAAATTTGAGATAACTTAGGCACTTTTTCAAGGGACTGAGCTTGGCATTTTTGTTAGGAGGAGCTGTGTTCTCTGCCCACTAGGCTGCTCTGGACTTCCCTTTTTCACTGTTAATAATTCCACGGTGGGCTATCAAATAACAGAAGCAGTGTGTTGGAGTTGACTTTTCCTCCCTGTCTCATGATAATGGGAATGTCTTTTCGTGGAAGCTCTTTCCCACTGTGATTACACTGGAGGATTGATATGGTTTAAGTGTGTTCCCACTCAAATCTCAGCTTGAATTGTAGCTCTCACAATTCCCACATGTTGTGGGAGGGACCCAGTGAGAGGTAATTGAATCACGGAGGCGGGTCTTACCCCATACTGTTCTCATGGTAGCAAATAAGTCTCACAAATTCTGGTAGTTTTAAAAAGGAAACCGCTTTCACTTGGCCCTCATACTCTCTTGCCGTCACCATGTTAAGACGTCTCCTTCACCTTCGACCATGATCGTGAGGCCTCCCCCAACCACATGGAACTGTGAATCCATTAAACCTCTTTTTTCTTTATAAATAACCCAGTCTTGGGTAGGTCTTTATCAGCAGTGTGAAAACAGACTAATAAAGAAACTCTCTGGCTTCCATCCCATTCACTTATATAGCCTTCACTTTGCAAGGTTGATATGAGGGAGTCCCACTTCTGGTTCTCTAGCTGTTTCTGCAACATGCTTGCAGGGAGTCTCAGCTCCTGCAATGACCACATGCATCTTGTGTTCTGGGGAGAGAGTGGCAGCTTTTGCTACTAAGCTGGAACTACCCAGTGAAGACAGGGACATGCTTGCTCCACTTGCTATAACCATGTTAAGGCTTTCTAAGGACATAGCCAAAGTGTCCCCATGCCCCTACTGGCTCCTTTTGCTCCTCTGTCTGTGGAGGCTGCCTTGTTGGTGCTGGGTTTATCTGTCTAGAGTATGCAGACTTGGTTGCTGGCATGTCCAAAGTGCCTGCTGTGGTGGCAGCCATGCTGCTGCCCCCTTGTGAAGCAATGTTGTGACTCAGAGAGAGAATGTGTTTACATGTATAGGAATGTTGATTTTCTTCCCCACCAGTGTAACCAGAAGAGGGGGCGCTAAAAAGAAACCATTGGAAGACCCCTGCTATTTACCTGACCTTGACAACCTTCTCTATGAGCCTCCATGGCCTCTGGACATTTCTTGTCTTCTGCCCCAAACACAGGTATGCTCATTGTTCCCCCAAACACAGGTATGCTCATAGTTCCCCCAGCTGGGATGGTTTATACTACTGGAAGCTTCCAACAATGGTGTTAGGAAGTAAACAACTTATTCCCTGTAAATTCAAATGCCTTTTCTTGTGTCTGAAGGAGGATAAACGTGAGGGTAAAAAGAAGCAGCCAGTGGCAAGGTTTAGAGAGGGTGCTTGTTTATGATCATGAAAGGAGAGCTGCACAAGCTTTCAAGGAAGCATTCAGATTAGCTTTAAAGTCTTTGTAGGCCTTTGACTTCTTCCCTGGGTGACATGGTCATACCTGGCATACTCTTCACAGCTTTCAGCTACTTCAACCAAAAAGATGATGTCAGATAGTGCAAAGTTAGGGACTGGTAGATGTGATGCTACGGTCATCATCTGAACATGATTGTATGGCACTGGTTACCAACCACTCAATCTTTTGTGTGACTATCTAAGAGACTATCTAAGTTTCTGGACCCTGGCAACAAAAATATGAAAGCCATTCCAAACAAGTTACTCACAAAGCCTGACACCCCTGCTGACACATTGCCTTTCTGCTTCTTGATCCAGTAGCTGCTCTTCTCTTTCCGGAGTCTTCATCTTGGCCTAAATAAGAACATCACCTTCCTGCTCAAAAGCAGTATCACTCACCCCACTGAGGGTTGGCCCTGTTGGGTTTTCTTAATTACTATTATTTAAATTAAATATTGGATGCTGAAAAGTTATGGAGATAATTCAAGACTCTGTATGTTATAACAGCTCAAAGGTGATTAAACTTTGCTTCCAACAAATGGTCAGGCTAAGTCAGCCTCAGTCCTTGCAAATGTTATTCTGCCTCTTCTTTCACTTACCCTTACTTCTATGATGCATTCCTTCATGATTTCACCTCAAAGTAGAGATTATTTATTAAGTTCCTTCCACCATTAGTGGGCCCTGGATACCAATGCTTTTGCCTGCCTTTCCCTGTGAGACTTCCAATGCAACTTCTCAGCTTTTCACCTTTCAGGCAACTTTTCCAGGGTAAGCAAGTGCCACCAGAGGAAGACAAACCGTTGTCTCTCACCGTCCAAACTTCTTCTCTTCAATCTTTGCCTTCGAAGTCACTACCACCTTGATTTCCTTTATTGGTGGCAAGCATTTCTTTATCTTAGAAAAATTAGGTAATTTAATCATCCAGTTAATACGTGGGAGAACTAATGTTAGAAGTAAGATGTGCCTGAGTCCACAGCCCATGTTCTTTACCATCACACTACAGTACCTAAGGAG